TATAATATACACATGCATATATATATATATATATATATACAAATTGTATACAGGGCTTATACAACCAACATTAAGCATTGACTGGGGTGTACACGGTGCATATTAGTCCATAATCGTGTGCAGTGGGTCAGCGGCATTCAGCGTACTGTTGGTTCCTTCGAAACGAATTGGTGCATACGACGACATGACGTAAAAATACATGTGTAGTGTTGCAAATACATCACACACACCCATACAACGCACGAGGCAGTGTGTCGTATGTGATCCTGCGACATGCCACCACAGGGCATTCAGTCCCAGGTGTAACTACTGTGGTCCTCTGAGGGGTAGTCTACCTACGATAGAGCACCGTCTCAATCGCTCCCGTCTCGTCGCACGCTTCCATGTTACACGTACAGGGTTTTTCTTAGGCGGCCATGCCCCCTATTCTATTGGTACCCACAGGCGCCTTTTTAAGTCCTCTTTCCTCAACTGTGTAACACGTTTTATCTCCACCTGCAGGGGTCTTTTTAAGGGCCTTTTCGTTGGGTCAAAGCACCGCTTCCATCACCGAGGCTGTGGTGTGGGAGACGGGTCTGGTGGCCCTCACGTCTGACCACCAATTCGTGTGTGTGCTGGACTTTGTAGAAGCCAAGCCCATGCGTTTGGCCAGAGTTGAAGGTGTGTTAACGTATGGCTAGCGTTGCAGGTGTGTGTGTCACTTCTGCAGTAGAGTGTGTGCATGTCGATGTACAATCACTGCGCATGTCCGGTGCACTCACAGCCAGGCATGTTCTTCGCTCAGTATGGGTCACACTCGTAGTGATTTGCTTAGTCTGCTCGAGATACACTGTATGGGGCCTGTATTCTATGAAGTTCCTCTTGTCTATCCATGGTTTCGTCTTGCATTTGTAGTATGAGACGGGCGTACTCATAGTCCTCCAGAGTGATGACGTGCACGGGACACCTACAATACTCCGTTCTGCTTTCATAACCCAATAGACCAATAGGCGAGTATTGGTATTGATTCTGATCTCAGTTCGTTGTTGATTTTCTAGGGTTTAGGGTTTTGTAATACTGCTTGCCTGTCACTGTTGCTATTCTGGCGTACCAAAACGTTCAACCAACCCCTTTCTGTCGCAAATTAAAGTTTCTGGTACAATTCCCTAAACCCTAAACCCTAAACCCTAAAGAATTTCTGGTCCAAATTCCTAAACCCTAAACCCTAAACCCTAAGTCGGCTGCTGAGAAGCCCATGTCTTGTGTCCTCGCCTCTTAACATACGCAATAGGACTCGTTTGCCGACAACACAAGTTTCCTGATTCCTCCTTGCTCATTGGTGTTGATTTGGTATACCCGCACATAGTCCATCTGTGCTGTGGTTCGTTTTCCCGCAGTTTTCTGTGATACGAATTGCCAGCTCCTATACACTTACCGTGCCTTTTGGCCGGCCTGAAGCCTGCTTAATAAATCCACTTAGTGAACCTACTTTACCTACTTAATAAACATACTTAATAAACCTAGATAATAACCTACTTAATATACCTACTCAATAAACATACATAATATACCTACTCAACACACTTACTTAATAAACCTAGATATTAAACCTACTTAGTATTCTTACTACGCTTACAGTCCAAACTTTGGATCTCCTTGGATGCTCACCCCACGCACTTCATATCCTCTGCACACACCTCTAAACCCCAAAACACTCAACCCAAACCATAAACCCCTAAAACCCCTAAACCTTACCTAGACATGGACTCGCCGCCCTCCTGCTGGACCGTCGTACCTACTTCTGGGGCCATTGACACGGTGCGTGTGTACATGGGCTACAGACACACTGTGTACATGCTCGGCCTAGACGAAGTGGAGCCAGTACATATGCCTCTGCTGGACTCAGCCAGTAACTACGCCATCATGTGTGTCACACACGACGGCATGCTGCTGGCGTGTGTGGATGAGGATAGCAACTTCACTGTGACCAGTGTGGAGGCGTCCAGGATACTGACGCAGACTAAGCTGGCTATGGACTACAGCAGCGCACCACCACCACCTCCTAGGTGGGGATGTAGTTATATACATATATATATATATATATATATATATATGTGTGTGTGTGTGTGTGTGTGTATGATATTTGTAGTATGTATAAGGATATTTGTAGCATATATACAGGTGTATGTTGCATTTAAACAAGTATATGTGGGTGGCACGTATACAGATATATGTAGCACCTATACAGATGTATGTAGCATTTATACAGATGTGTGTGGCATGTATGCAAATATATGTGGCATATATACAGATACATGTAGCAAGTACACTCCCTTGGATTTCTGTGTACATGCCTTTTGTATGAGTCTCGTCTCCGAATACGTTAAAGATAAAAGCCTTGAAAGGTAACACAATGGAATATGCGTATGTTGCATTCATCGCGTCCCTCCTTCGCGTACGCTTGTGTGTATGTGTGTGTATGTGTGTAAATATATGTATGTAAGAAGTATATATGTTTATGTAAGAATGAATATATCGTCCCTCCTTCGCGTACGCTTGTGTGTATGTGTGTAAATATGTGTATGTAAGAAGTATATATGTTTATGTAAGAATGAATATATCGTCCCTCCTTCGCGTACGCTTGTGTGTACGTGTGTATATACATCTGTCACTGATATTGGTGTGCGGGTGTCTATAGGTCGGCACAAGTGACTGTAGACATATGCGCGGCACGAGAAGTACTATAGCGTAATCGCCTCTATCAGCGTTGCTCGTCTCCTTTCCAAGATATTTATGTATGTGTATATCTCATCGCCTCTCCAAGATATCTGTGTATGTGTACATGCATAGCAAGATTTATATGTGATACGCTTTACATGATCATACACGCACCAGCTCCTATCTATCCACATGCAACCACGTAGAACCCACATATGAACCCACACAACACAGGCTGTGTGTACGCAGCCCCAACACCTCAATCTAACCACGTATGTAGCCACATGTGCATACCCACAACACAAGCTGTGTCTACGTAGCTTAAAAGCCCGCAATTCTTGCGTTGTCAACAAAGTCCGTTGCGACTATCATATCAGAAACCATCGCGTAGACGGGTGTCACTTTCGTTTCCGGTTTTCTTTCTCGGCTTCGGCACACATTGTAATATGTCCTTCATTTATTGACAATTGGAAGGCTATGAATAATACTCTAGAATATCGTCAGCCGAATGCCACCATTGAAGACACACGGCAGAGACGCCATATCAGAGACAAATCGGACTTATCCAAAATACTGAAGACTACTTTGTTTCAGCCGACTAAACAATGGTCTAACAACATCCAGAAGGCCAAGACTACGCCACTAACATTGCCCGATATCACCGTACCCTTCCCTTGCCACACAGACAGATGGTGTGGTGTGGCATGGACTGTGTGGTGATGACCTGGGACCAGGCAGGTGTGGTGATGGGCGTGGGGCCGTTCTCGGGCACGCTTACCTACACGTTTGATCACCAATGTGTGCTTGTGGGCGAAGTGGATGGTGTGCGTATCATCGGCACAGACTCGCATGACTTCCTGGAACGCGTACCACAGTGTGTGGAAAATACGTTCAAGTATGTCCTGTAGGCGTGTCATTAAGGCGTAACGACTTGTATATCACAGCAACACTACCTTGCTATCTGTAGACATTGTTTTCTGGGATATGTTTATGTAATAGAGAGTGATTTAGGTTTATGTAATAGAGAGTGATAGATTTATGAAATAGAGAGTGATATGTTTATGTGATAGAGAGTGATAGGTTTATGTGGGTGCCACAGTGTGAAGATAACACGTTCAAGTATGTCCTGTAGATATTGTTTTGTGGAATATGTACATGGAATGCCTTGTAGACATTGTTGTATGGGATATTGGCAATAACTGGTATGTCTATGTCGACTGTAATAGCAATGACTGGTATACCTATGTCGACTGTAGTAGCAATGACTGGTATGTCTCTGTCGACTGTAATAGCAATGACAGGTATGTCTATGTCGACTGTAATAGCAATGACTGGTATGTCTATGTCGACTGTAATAACAATGACTGGTATGTCTATGTCGACTGTAATAGCAATGACTGGTATGTCCATGTCGACTGTAATAGCAATGACTGGTATGTCTATGTCGACTGTAATAGCAATGACTGGTATGTCTATGTCGACTGTAATAGCAATGACTGATATGCCTCTGTAATAGCAATGACTGGTATGTCTATGTCGACTGTAATAGCAATGACTGGTATGTCTATGTCGACTGTATTGGGCTGTAGGCTTCTCGCTGAACAATGTCAGGCGATGGCGTGTCTTGCGCTGCTAAATGGTACAGCTTCGCGTGCACTTTTACTCGTCTGGCCTAGATCTCATAGCACATGTGCGTAGGAGTGTGTGTGTGATTTGTGTAGGATTGTGTGTGATTTGTTTAGGAGTGTGTGTGTAATGTGTAGGAGAGTGTGTGTGATTTGTGTAGGATTTTTTATCTGATTTGTGTAGGGGGTTGTGTGTCTGTGCATGTATTCTCACATTGTATATGAGCTTGTTGGATCTTTCTGTGATCAGCGCTTTATCCCTGAAGCGTATTGAGTGGCCATATTTGGTATACCACAGATTCGGATCCACTGAACCCCCCGCGCTTCTATTGGATGCCAGTCGGCTGTACGACGATGGCAATGCGAGATGCGATGAACTTCTACGCTCAATCAAAGGCAACGCACTCGGTATGTATCATATGCATATATGGCCCACATATGTTTGTTGTTTATATAGATTGCATATGTTTATGTGGATTACATATGTTTATATGAATTGCACATATTTATTTGGATTGCATATGTTTATATGTATTACATATGTTTATATAGAGCACGTGTGTGTTTGTATGGAGTCTGTTGGATAGTGTGGATCTATTTCGACATCCCATACATCTTAACGTTATATCATTCAGTGTCTGTGTCCCTGAGACTGCTGCAATAGCACAACTGCCATAGGTAGCGCCCCCGAACAACAAGAATGTGCAAGTAAACTTTAAACGCATATTCTCTGGCAAGGGTAACCTCTTTCTCATAGCGATGCGGCACTATACAACCCCACAACTTGCGTAGCATTGACTTATTTTAGCCCAACATGCGTAGCATTGTCTTATATTTACGTATTTGTCGCATTTTAATCAGACGACGCTGTACGACAACTACTGCAAGTGGCTGGGTACGAGTGGGACAGTGTGGCACAGAAGGACATCATGCGAGCCGCTAGTTTTGGACGGGCTTTCTTTACGGACAATGGGACTACCCACGAATCCGTAAGTCAACCTATCTAAATACATCCGAGGGTAAGTCTACCTATCTAAATACATCCGAGGGTAAGTCTACCTATCTAAATATATCCGAACGTAAGTCTACCTCTCTAAATACATCCGAGGGTAAGTCTACTAAATACAACCGAGGGTACGCCTACCTATCCATTGCAGTCTATATGTTTAGTCCAGAATCTATACTGGTGTAGTCCAGAATCTATATTTAGTACTACTCCATACGGCCACATGGTGAAGGTTGTTCTTGTTCGTGAAGTTCTCGTGCTGTGGCGGTGGTATGTGATTTGCATACTGTGTGTGATTGTTTCATGTGAGTGATTGATTCATATGTGTGATTAATGTACGTGTGATTGATTCATATGTATGATTATTGTATATGTGCGATGTTTCATGTGAGTGAATGATTCATATGTATGATTAATGTATGTGTGATTGATTCATATGTATGATTATTGTATATGTGCGGTTGTTTCATGTGAGTGACTGATTAATATGTATGATTAGTGTATGTGTGATTGATTCATATGTATGATTATTGTATATGTGTGATTGTTTCATGTGAGTGATTGTTTCATATGTGTGATTAATGTATCTGTGATTGATTCATATGTATGAATATTGTATATGTACGATTGTTTCATGTGAGTGATTGATTCATACGTATGATTAATGTATGTGTGATTGATTCATATGTGTGATAATTGTATATGTGTGTTTGTTTCATGTGAGTGTTGATTCATATGTATGATTAGTGTATGTGTGATTGATTCATATGTATTATTATTGTATATGTGTGACTGTTTCATGTGTGTGATTGATTCATATGTATGATTATTGTACATTTGTGATTGTTTCATGTGAGTGATTGATTCATATGTACGAGTAATGTAAGTATGATGAATTCATATTATCGTGGCACTAACGTGTACGTGATGCGTGCTTTGGCTGCAGGTGGTGTGTGAATCGTTGTGTATGTGTACTGTGAGTGCGTGTGACACGCCTTGTTCCTCGTGCGTGGTAATAAATTACGTCTCTAAGTCTCAATACAGCACCACTTCACACCTTCTTGTATCCATCCGCACCTCTCCTGCGACTAAAACGGGACATGCGCAATCAAGCGTTGCACAACCGTACCAAGTCCAGCCTTACATTAGGCTATACCTGTTATCTCCCACAACTTACCTCAACCGTTAGTTAAATACATATATCCACTGTCTCCTATAGCTCAAGCCTATCCTCCATACCTCTCCCGTCAATACAGAACGACCTCAACAAGGGCACCCAAACCACAACAGACCCGGGCCAAGACTTCTCCGTCCTATTCGAGGACATATGCATGAATGTCCGAGTACTCAACTGCATTCGCAGACACACTGTGGGCATTCCCCTGACCCTCTCACAGTTAACAGCCCTCACACCGCAGCGGCTGCTGCTGCGCATGTCGCAGTTGGGGTACCATGCATTGGCCTACCGAGTGTGCACCTACCTGCGCATAGACGTCTCTGAAGTGCTGGTGCACTGGGCGTGTGAGAAGGTTTGTGTGTGTGTGTAAACGTATTAGCTCCCCTATGTGTGTGTGCATGTGTGTGTGTAAACGTATCAGCAACCCTATATATATGTGTGTGTGTGTAAACGTATCTGTAGCCCAATGTGTGTGTGTGTGTGTGGGTAAACGTATCAGCAACC